AATGACACATTTTCAAAGATTAAAAAATCAACAAAGTTGTTAGATATTAGCAACTGTCATAATGGTTTCCACCAAGGTCCTCTGTTCCGGCAGGAACAGAGGTTCAATCTCATTGGTCGAAGGGTCTGACAGCTCCCTATAAAAGGGCTGCTGTCAGACTCAACTTTCGCTGGATTGTACATACTTGTTCAGTTAAAATAAAGAGCTGTTGTTGCCTTTAGCTCAAGTGTGCCTTGCCATTATCCAATCTAGCAAAAGTCCAGTCACCTTTTTTAAAAATAGACCTTTGGTACAAGCACAACCTGGATGTTTGACAATCTCCATAAATCTTACATTGCATTTTCTTCACTGCAATTTGAATCAGCAATATCCACCGATGCGTGAACACCAAATGTTTTGTCTGTTAGATCCAGCTGAGTGTGGTTCTGAAACTTAATCATGATCCTTCTGGCCCAGAATAGAATGCAGGGGCTTCCATTAACAGTGACATTCAGTGGACTGTAGTGACTGTGAAACAAAGATTCTTTCTCCAAATTCTCTTTAGTGCTTACATTGTAATTGCCAATCTGCATGCAACCAAGTAAGAAATAACAATTAGTGTTCTCCCTTTAACATGCTACTAATGCTTAATTTTGAATTACTAGATTAACAGAACAACATAAATTCAATTCTATAAATGACTTGCCGTCAAGGCTAGTCAAAAATGCTTTGCTTTAAGATGGAGCCCATCCAAAATCAGAACTGGAATGTTATACTAAAATCTCAATTCTGACTATAATAATAAGAAAGTAAAAAACTAGCAATGTCCTGCTTCAGGGTGGCTATCATAATTCTGTCTAACAGAAAGATGAGCCCTGCTTATAAAACACCATAAGAAAATATAATTACTGTTTATTCCCCAATACATAAGTAAAAAGCAGAGTTTCTAAAAATATGGATAGCTTTTGTAATAAATGTCTAATCATTAGTGAAGACAAACCTCATTGAACAGTTTTTTAAAAAAATATGTCATTTAAATTACTATTGTTAGAGTGAAATGGCATAAGTGCTATTAGTGAATCATTGCATTAGTGAAACACTATACAATTATTGTGCTAAAATATAAATCTCCATATAAAATGCTTGAGATATGAACTCTTATATTTATCCATCTAGACACAAGAAGATATATTGATTTATGTTAATAATAGTGGAAAAATTTATATAGCTGTTTATCAATAGGAATTTTATTATATAGTCAGCTAATTCAGACACTGAATTTGTGGATATTTTTCATCCAAATACAAAAAAAAATACATCTTTGTAACATTACATAGGAGACCAATTTTAAAAATGAGATTCTGGAAATTTCAGGAGATAGCAGAAATGTAAAAGAGAAATCCCATCTCAAGGGGCTCAGACATGAAAGAGATGAAGGAAAACACAAATGTGGTCCATCAATGAAACCTAAATTCTGTCAATCTAGAAAATTAACAGAGACCATCAAAGTCCTGTAAAATCAAATTTGAAGTTATCAGTCAGGAGCCAAGAAACTCAACTCTTTCAAGTTGATTTTTAAAGACAGTAGAAAGACTCTTCTTTGTTGCATCTTCATAGGAAAAGCAGAAAAAATTATTTGAGAAATTTGTTTGCTTTTGATATTTTGTTATACTATGTCCTATATATATTTGAATTTGTTTCTGAGTCAGTCCACCTATTCTAAGAGGGCTTAAATTTTAGCCCAGCATATTTGAATAAGGTACTGAGAAAAGTCAGAGGATGTACCACATTATCGTTGTTGAGTTCACATATTAAACCAGGACAGGAAGAGAATTTCTCTCGAATAAATTGGATTGTGGAAGCACATTAAGGAATATAGGAGGTTTCAGAACAGTGGTTCTCAACCTGTGTGTTGGGACCCCTTTGGGGGTCTAACGACCCTTCCACAGGGGTCACCTAAGACCATCGGAAAAAACATATTTTCAATGGTCTTAGGAACAGAGACACCAATATTATATTTGGGAGTCACCACAACATGAGGAACTGTATTAAAGGGTCGCAGCATTGGGAAGGTTGAGAACCAAAGTTTTAGAAGGAGAGTTGGTAAATAGAAGATCTAGAACCACCCTGCTGGCACAACTGTATCAAAGAGTCCTGTGCACACTTGTGCCAGCAGACAACAGATGTCATTGCAACATAGCAGAAAATAGCACAGAGACATGGGGGAGGGGCAATTATTTGCTACATACAGGCATTCCTCAACTTAAAACAGGTTATTTAGGGATCATTTGAAGTTACAACAGCATTGAAAAAAATGACCTATGACCATTTTTCACACTTACAACCATTGTAGCATCCCCATAGTCATGTGATAAAAATTAAGAAACTTGGCAATTGACTCGTGTTTATGACAATTGCAGTGCCCTGGGGTTATGTGATCCTCTTTTGCAGACTTCTGACAAGTGAAGTCAGTGGAGAAGCCAGATTCATTTACTAACTTAACAACTGAAGTGATTCACTTAACAACTATAGCAAGAAAGATCATAAAGTGGGACAAAATCCATTTAATAAATGTCTCGCTTAGCAATAGAAATTTTGGGCTCAGTTATGGACCTAAGACGAAGACAACCTGTAGCTACGAAGAGAAACAAAAAAATTGTAATAGAATTCTAGAATACTTTCTGGGGAAAATTGAGAACTACTGATATTCAGAATAGAACAACATTTACAAATATATAAACTATATACCAGATATTCCTAAGTACCAATAATGTGTCATCCAAAGTTTCTTGCAGAAAACCTTCAAGTGAATATTTCTCAGTTATACTTTCAACATGGAAAGTTGAGTCTCTTTTTCTTTTCCTTTTCCTTTCCTTTCCCTTTTTATTTTAATTTTTGATACGTGCCACTACTTTTGCAATCAGTGCAGTTGTACCAGGGTAAAAATTGTCGCTAGACAGACAAATCTTGCAAGACCAACTCATACCATGAATTTATCTGGTACCATCAATATATTTTTTTTAAAAAGATATATGTAGTAAATCATACAGATTTACAACCCACGTGCAATATATTGTATAACACTGAAAATAATTTGGTCAAGGAATATACATATGCTACATGACTTGGAAAGAAAATATTGTCATGTAAGAACTTACTATCCAGTTTTCTGGTGTCTCCATACCTGTGTTATTGCTACTTGTTGTAAATTAATTTTGGGCTTCACACTGCCATCATACCGTCGACCTACAAAAGAAACAACAGGCAATTCATTTCAATTAAAGCGAATCCTAGCAATAAACAATTTTAATAACTTTTTTTTAAGTTTGAGCTGTGGGTTATCAAAGAAAAGACTGATACAAAAAGATTTTTAAAAAGAAAGTGTGTGTGTGTGTGTGTGTGTGTGTGTGTGTGTTTTGAGGCAGTCAACTTATCAATCAGATGTGGTTTAACACAAAACCAACATGGTGAAGAATTTGAGCCAATCTTTTTTAAAAGACTATATATGGGTATTTAAAAGTTTATCTGTATGTCATTGATACTGTAGACCTGTAGAAGACAAAGAGGTATAGTCTTCGACTGCCTTTCATTAGTATGAACAATTCTTAACACTCAGGTATCTTGTTTAGGAACCTGGTGAATCAACTGTATTATGGACTGTTATAAACACAAAGCATCTTCTCTCATCTATTTGTCTACTACTATGGGGCTGCTTTAACAATCATCAATATGAGGACCTGTTGTTACTTTTTAAATGGATGTTGTAACTTCAAATGGTTGATAAATGAATGGTTGCACGTCAAGGACAACCTGCATTTCAAGGAAATAGCATTTCATGCCCTTTAGGTATGCATTTTCCATTCAGCATTCCAGCCAAGGAAAAGAGAAAGGGAAGAAGTATTAGTGGGTTAGGGGATCTCACTGTGGCTACATCTCCTATTTTTCATTCATAACTCCCTTATAAACTAATTACCATATTTTTTGGAGTATAAGACACACCAGAATATAAGACGCACCAAGATTCTGAAGAGGTAATTTTTTTAAAAAAAAGGTTTTGCACTCTGCAGATCTCCCAAACCCTCTGCATGCCTCATTTTTTGTGAAAAAGTGGCATGTAGAGAGTTTGAGAGGCCTGCAAAGTGCTTCTAGGGTTGGGGGAGATGAGCAAAAAACTCCCCAATTTTCACAACAGCGGGCCCATTTTTTGCAAAAAAAACAGGGCACGATAAGCTTGGGAAGCTTGTAGAGTGCTCCTGGGAGCCGGGAGGGGGGGCAAAATGAACAAAAAAAATGACTATTTTTTGTTGTCCTCAACTCCCAGGAGCACTCTACAAGCCTCCCAAAACCTCTACACATCCATTTTTGCGAAGGGGGTGGGGTTTCGGGAGGCCAAAAATGCTGCATTCAGTGTATAAGATGCACCTAGATTTTCACCCTTTTGGGGGGGGGGGAAAGGTGTGTCATATACTCCAAAAAATATGGTAGATGCAACCACTGTAGCAGAAGAAAAGTAAAAAGTAGACTCATTCCATTAAATCTACTGAAACATAAGATCTAATGTGATCCAGTTCTTTGAACTGCTTTCAATTGATGAACTATTCTAAGAACTATTGCTTGGTTTGTTATGGCTTCCCTGCCCATCCATATTTTCCTTTGGTGTTGTATTTAGCTTGTATCCCTGAATATCTTTGCTATTAATCGCTCCTAAGCTACTGAAGGAATATTTCTGACAGAACAGAAAGGTTAAAAATGTTTGAATTAATTAAACTATCTGTTGGTGACCTATAGTCACCTGAAACTCCTCTGTAAATTTTTTGAACCTTTATTTTTTCAGGAAGTGACAATTTGCAGGAGACAATTAAAGCCTTACCATTTCTCTGGAGTGGATCTTGATCAGAGAATACAAACAACCTGCAAAGAAACAGACACAAAAGTAGTATTTGAGCAACAGTTTTTTTTTAAAAAGTACCTTACTTAAACTGCAGGAAAGCAATATTTGCTACTTTCAAACTACAATATAATTGGTGAAATGATGTAACTATTTAAAAGTTTAAACATCCTTTTAGTGGAAAAAGTTCCCCATACTGAATTTAGACTGAAGCTTCATGTGATAAAACTACTGGTAAATCAACAGGTTTTGTTAAGTGGATTCATTTTATGTATTTGATATTTATCCACTCTGGTAAGCATCCTGGTAAGTATGGATAAAATTTTAAAAACAAAACCAGAAAACAAAACATTAAATCCATGAATAAAAATCAAGATGAAAATACTCATTTAAGAGATGTTTCTGAAAATATCCTAAACACCAAACAAAAGGAGGCCAAATGTTGCTCGTAAACAAATGCATTTCATGGTCTCAGGATGAAACTCTGCCAGTGGAGAAATATGCAGGTCACTGGCAGGAGGTTAAAATAGACTTTAGCTGGAGTCTGATAAATACCTGCGAGACTAGCGGTAGTTATTGCATTTAAATAGAACTGTTGCAAAACTCTTCCCAGTTCCCTAGAGTTGGACACAACTGCACAGGGAAACTTTTACCCTTATTTCACACTTTTATGATACAGGTAGTCCTCGACTTACGACCATAATTGAGTCCAAAATTTCTGTTGCTAAATGAAACATTTGTTCTGAATTTTGCCCCATTTTACCACTTTTCTTGTCACATTTGTTAAGTGAATCACTGCAGGTGTTAAGTTAGTAACATGGTTGCTAAGTCAATCTAGTTTCCCCATTGATTTTGCTTGTCAGAAGGTTGCAGAAGCTGATCACATGTCACCAAGGCACTGCAAATGTCACACATATGAGTCAGTTGCGAAGCATCTGAAGTTTGCTCACGTGGCCACGGGGATGCCGCAACAGTCGTTAAGTATGTAAAATGGTCATAAGTCACTTTTTCCAATGCCGTTGTAACTTTGGTCACTAAGTGAACAGTTGCAAGTTGAGGATTATCTGTATATTGCATCACAAGCCATCCAATCACCTTCTAGGTGAATCTTTTGTGTGAGCCCAGTCTGAATAAGGTTCATTTTGCCATATAAACCCAGAAAATTGAGTTAAGCAAACTGATAGGTCTCTTATGCAAGCCTCACATAGATAGCTAGAGCAAAAGCTGTTAAATGGACAGCTGGCACATGCTATATTCCCACCCAGCCTGGGTCAAAGGAGGCAACCAGTTTGGGCTGATGACCAACTGTCATTTTGACTGTTGCGCCAGTCACTGCACTCAACATTAAATCTGCTGTATGCTAATCTTTTTAGTCAGTATTTAGCATTTAATCAGCTTATCAATTAAAGGTCACATTAGAGATCTTAAGAAAAGCCACAAGCTTTCTAGGAAATGCATATTACACCATCCAAAGTCCACTGGAATTGGATGGCCAATAAATTTAAGTGAACAAAATGTTTGCATTTTACTAGAGTATCCATAATATACCCATAGTTATCACTGTGGGTTTGAAAATTTATTAAAATATCTCAAAGCAAACCAATGGTGGGTTTCACTTAGCTTCACTACCGGTTCACTGATCGCATTCATGCGTGTTCCGTTTGCATGGGTGCCTGACTTGCACTGCACGCATGCACAATACACCACCCCTGTGACAACGAGCTAATTATTTGGGCTTGCGCAAGTGTCGTGTGCGTGCATGCATGCGTAATTTGCTTTTTGCTAAAACAGCTATAGAGCACTGATGGGTGGGCCAAAAGAGCCACCGTACCAATTCGCTCTCAGCTGCTCCAGGCCACTACCAAACCACGCCAAACCAACAGCAACCCACCTTTGAAGCAAACTCATAGATACCGCTGAGGATTTTGAAATTCAGAAGAGCATTGTGCTTCTCTTGTCCACATATTGTTTTTGCTAGGCAATAAGTAACTATTTATTAGTGCAAACCCTAACTTGCATATAAATCCAAGAGTTGGTGAGTAAATATACCGACCATCCTGAAATTCCTGTTACTACTTTTCAATTCAATTCCTTATATGTAGTAGTGATTCTGGTCATAGCAATAACAATAGGAACAGCAGTTAGACTTATATACTGCTTCATAGGGCTTTCAGCCCTCTCTAAGCGGTTTACAGAGTCGTCATATTGCCCCCACAATCTGGGTCCTCATTTTACCCACCTCGGAAGGATGGAAGGCTGAATCAACCCTGAGCCGGTGAGATTTGAAC